GCCCCTGAGCCCCGCTGGCACCTGATTACGAGGGACAAGAGATGAGAAAAGGGGGATTGGATGCTAAGGTCATATGGGTCCGAAATGAGGCATCCAGAGGGGGAGACTGAGCTGAGGACCAATGGCGGATATAGGGCAGGGCGAGTGGGGCAGCTGCCCGGCCCGGCACTGCAATAGGACCAGCGCATGCACTGCTACCTGTCGGCTCTGGCTGTGGTGCATGAGCGAAATTGTGCTGCACTGGACCCCGCGTTTCAATAGGCCGGGCGCCCTGGGCCCCGCAAAACTCTCATCCGCCCCTGCTGAGGACACCATGTGTAGGGGTGACTAGTGCTGGTTGCAAGGGGGGAGGCGAAAGAGTGCAGGGGAGCGCCACCCAGAGTGAATGTAATGATCAGAAACAGTAGAATATTACCTCCTTTTTTTTTAATCTCACTCCATCTAAATGGAATGCCCAATCACAACAGAGAAGGCAGACTCAAACCCATCATCAGGATGTAAACAGGGAGATGTTGCCTGAATATTTCCTATAATATCAGCCTCTATAGAAGAAAAATAAAATATATAAATGAAATATTGAATAAGTATAAATAAAATACTTCTATTTGAATATTAACATTTCTAGTTACATTTTATGTACATTTAGATTTCAAATAAAATCCCATGACCAGATATATAAGTTATGTGCTCTATTTAGTTGTAACCCTTCTGCCAGGTAGTGCCAGCAGCAGCCAGGGCCAGGTTCAATATCTAGGGGTCCCTTTTCATACATCTCACACAGAACCGGCTCGAGCCCACACCCAATAGCCTGGGAAATTCACACACCGCTGGATGCCTCTGAGAGGCAATGCTTCCCCACTCACAAGCACAGAGTCTGAGTGTAGAAAATAAACTTTTAATGAAAGAGGAAGAGAAGTTACATGACATTAGCTCGGAAAAATCCCATAAACATAGTTCCTATCCCCGCCATGAGTAACTGGCCCAACTCAATGGATTGAGCTTTGCCCCTCAGGCTCACTAGTCCAACAATGTAAGGGTTCCATTAATTTACCCAAACTTTCTCTGTACCCCACTTCAAGAGCCCCACTTACAGCTCTGTCCAGTCAGTGTGGCCCCTCACATATCACCCTGATGACTCCACTCATTGAGCCTGAAGCCATGCCACCTTTGTGCTGCACTTGTGGTCTCTGCTTGTGCCACCCGCCGCCCATTCCCACCAGCTGCTGCGCTGGCCACCTGCCGCTGCTCCTACCAGCTGCCCACTGGTCGTTCCCGCCAGCTGCTCCTCTGACCACCTGCTGCCACTCCTACTAGCTGCCCACTGGCTGCCTACTGCCGCTTCTACAGGCCACCTGCCAGTCGCATCCACCAGCTGGCTGTTGGCTGCAGTGGGTCTGGCTCCAGGCCAAACCAATGACTTCAGTTCTTAGTGATTTCAACTCTTTAGCCACCACCTAGGCTGGCAAAAGATTCCAGCTACCACTGGACTAGCAAAAAGACTCCTGATGGAGTCTGCTTTAAGTCTAGCCTTAAAACAAGGGAGAAAGAGGCAGGTTGAACCAGTCTTACAGAGCACACCTGGCAGGCATGCAGCAGGCTGGCTCAAGCCCTTTCCCCCCAACTCGGTTCACTCAACTCTGG